TCTCTCTCTCTCTCTCCTCCTCTCTCTCTCTCTCTCTCTCTCTCTCTCTCTCTAGGTGGCACACTGCCCATAAGAAAAAAAGGAGGGGTGGCACGCCTAACCTAGTTAAGGTTTAAAGAGAGAAGGGCACGCCTAGTCCTAGAAAAGGGAGGTGCCTCTGTGGCATATGCCCTAATTGTTCTAAAAGGGGTTCCAATAAACCCTAATTGTGTTTTATACTCTATAAAACCCTAGTTTGAGAGATATTGCCTAAGAAAGCTTCTTAGCTATGAAAATTCAGCAAGATTAATAGGATTGAAGCACGCCGTCAGTCAAGAAATCAGATATGGGGTGTACTAAATTCTATTGGCGGGACCCTAGGTACATCAGCATTGTTTGTATTAAAGTTAGAAGAAATTTGAATTTCATTCCTGGATTATGCCTATTCAATTTGGCAGTAAAAGGAAAGGTCCTAGGTTATACTTAGGGTTTAGTTTCTTATTTACAGTAGTATTTTATGACACTTCTAGGTAGAATTTAGATTGATCAATAAAATAAAAGGTTAAATTTTTTATTTTTATTGCCTTGATTTCCACATAGCCACTTCTTTTCAGTTAGGCAACTATCTTTTATGACATACTCGCTTAAAGTCCTATTTAGTAGAAAAATTAGAATAAAAAGCCTTGTAAGCCATTAGAAGAATCAATGAAGGATATATCATCTGGGGTTAAACCTTAGGAGGACTTCCACCCCTTCAAAATGGACTTTTCCCTCTTGCTCCTTCTTTATTTTTTACTTTTTCTCTATTTTTCTCTGTGACATCTTGTGATCGTAAAAATCTTCAATTGGTTCATTTTAATTTCCATTAGAAAAACAGGAGTAGCAACAACAGCGACAACAGAAAGGTATATCTTCCAAACCCTAAGACACACGATACACATTGAATTACAGGAAACTCAATTGAAAAGAGAAGTACCTGATATGCTTTCATTCTGGATTAGGGTTTCCTGAAATCATCAAAAGAAATTTATTTAAAAAACAATATATGCATCTGATAAAGAAGCATTGATTGCGTTGTATAGAAGCTTACCATGCATCCATTTTCCGGAAACATTTTGGATTTTCTGATTTGATCGTTAGCGTGGCCCCAAATATAACGAAAAGCGATAGAGAGAGAGACAGAGAGCGAGCAGAAATTCAGCAGTTAATTGAATCCTCCCGTATCCAATTTCCCCGGCGATAACTTGTCGAAAAACTAATTCTCCGACTACTGGACTCCGGCCATGGGCTCCTGCGTATTTGTTTGTTTTCCCGGCACGGTTGGAAATGGAAGGAAAATTTAAAAATGCCCGCGCTGATTTCTGGAAATAATTACAATTGTATCCTAAAACACCCCGATTTCAGTTGATAAAAACGAATATGGTTTTGCAAGGGCGGGAGCCCCAACAGGAATCCGTTTTGCCCGACAGCCCGGTGCCCCGGTGTTTCATAACCAGGTCGGTGAGGTGGATGAAGTATTATTGGGGTCGGGGTAATGCCTAGCACCAATAAGAATAAATATTTCAGAAAAAATAAATGATAAGGGTTTAGGGGATTTAAGAAACAAATAAATTTATATAAAGTTGCAACTTTAAAATGTAGAAATAAGGTGCACTAAATCCACCAAAAAATGTCGTTTTCGTGTTGGAAACCCTCTATTGATGATATGGACTTGAAACGTATGGATATGAAAAATAAATAAAAAATTTAAGTCTTAAAAATAGTGCATCTCGAAACACATTATTTGGACAGTCCATTTTCAAGATTTGTATATATTTATAGATCTAGTTGATTTTAAGCTTTGAAGTAATTTTAGACTTTAAATTTTTTTATAATTAGAGATAAAAATAGATTTTTCAAGTTATCCTAATAAGACACCAAAATTATATCTTATAATAAAATTTAGAGGTGCACCTTTGATTTAGTGTTGCAACCATATACAAACCACGCTTTTTAAAAAAATATTAGATCATCTTAACAAATTAAAAAAATATATTGGGGGTTAGGGGAAACTGTCTGACACATGTTTTGTCACCTTGTGTCATATACAATGCTTTGAAGTAAGGAAAAAGTTTATATAAAGATGCAACATTATCATGTAGAACTACGAATGCACCTCAAAAATCATTATCATGTAGAACTACGAATGCACCTCAAAAATCCATTGGAAAAGGTAGTTTTGATGTTGAAAAACCATTTTATTGATCATCTCAACATCGAGATGTATGACCATGAAAAATAAAAAAAATTTAAGTCTCATAAATAATGCATTTTACAACATATTACCTACATCGTCAATTTTCAAGATTTTCATATGTCTATAAATCCACTTGATTTTAACAATTTTTTAAATTTAAAATTTTATAATTAGATATAAAAATAGATTTTGAGATAATCCTAATAATATTTTACATCAAAATTATATACCATGATAAAATTTGAAAGTGCACCTACTGCTACGGTTGCATCTGTATGCCAACTGCACCCTTGAAGTAAAAGGTTTATCTAACCTTTATTATTTAATATCCAATATATGGATTAAACACTTTTGAAGTAAAAGGTTTCTCTAACCTTTATTATTTAATATCCAATATATGGATTAAACACTTTTTAACAAACCTGACCCTAGATCCCGTACCAACAACTGATTCCCATTTCAATTGGATGACAACTTAATCAAATAAAAACTACCTAATTTGACAAACCCCTAAAGCTAATTTGAATTCAAAATTATATAAAGCAATGTTTTTTTTTATTTTTTTTTACAAAGTTGTAAATATAGGAATGGAACTTGAAATGTTAGACTATAAAAACCTATCCTCTACCGTCTCAATACAAACCCATGGCAACTATTAACTACCCTCGCCAATCCCCCTATAGTTATTAACATTCCACCTTCCTTCGTATCAACATTGTCCTCAAGGTTAGATATCTACCACCTCATGATCATCCTCCCTCAATTTGGCATCATTATCCAGCATAAACAGTAATTGGGGCTAATAGCTATGGAATATCGTGGGCTTTTTAGTACAATTATAGCAAAGACCCATGTCTCTACACTCCTACAAAATAGAAGGCGTGTTATACTAAAAAAAGTTTATATAAGGTTGCAACTTTAAAATGTAGAATTACATATGCACCTAAAAAGGGTGTGGTTTTTATAAGGCTGCAACTTTAAACAACCCAATTACGGCGCACCTCCAAATTTTATCATGACATGTAATTTTGGTGTAAAAAAATCATAGGATTATCTCAAAATCTATTCTCATACCTAATTATAAAATTTTAAATTTCAAAAATAGTTAAAATAAGTAGATCTATAAACATATCAAAATCTTGAAAATGGATGGTCTAGATAATGTGTTGTAAGATGCACTATTTATAAGACTCGAATTTTTATTTTTATTTTTCCATATTCATTAATCTTGATGTAGAGATGATCAATTAGAGGATTTTTTAACTTTAAAACAACCTTTTCCTATTGATTTTTGAGGTGCACCTCCAATTATACATTTTGAGGTTGTAACCTTATGCAAACTTTTTCCTTCATATAATCTTAAGATTTTTTACGCTAAAATTACATGTTATGATAAAATTTGGAGGTGAGCGGATTTTTAAGGTTGCAACCTTATAGAAACCACTTTCAACAACATTTTATGGAATCAATAGGGGGATTTGTGCAGGGAAAATTACAAAACAACTTACCCAAATCTAACTTTTTCTCTTACGTTTTTCTCCAAATTATATTTTCTATGCAAATACCCCTAACCAAATAAAAAATAAAAAAATATGTAAACTATACTCTTTTACTTTTACCTTACCCACGTCTCTTTCTCCTCTATCTTACCAAAATAGGAGCCCCAGCATTGTGTACGTGTTGTCCGGCAGTAGGACTCCGATACTGTGTAAAGTGCAGTCGTGTAAAGTACGGTCTGGCAGTTGTAAAGGGTGGTCTGACAATAAATGCTATTAGATTCCAGGGCTCCAGCACTATGTAAAGGGTGGTCTGGCAGTACTCAGTTTTAGTCCGATAGTTGTCTTCAAGCGGTCCGATACTTATGAGTTCCAACAATGTGATATTGCTTTACGATAATGTGCAATTAGGGTCCAAAAGTCAACATCAAATCTGGTTAAAATGATTTTTGTATACATAAAAAGTATTTCAATCTAAAAAAAATGAATTTTTTCTCCTAAAAGTTTGTTTTGGGAAAAAAGTTAGATTGTGGTAAGTTCAAAAAAGTGGGGGTATTTTTATAAAAGAGTTTGCTTTGGGAAAAAACGTGAGAGAAAAAGTCAGATTGTGGTAAGCTCAAAAAAGTGAGAAAAAAAAGTTAGATTGTTCTAAGTTCCATAAAAAGTTATCATCTTCGGGTTGCTTTTTTTTTTTTTCTCATTTGTGTATGCTCTGCACAAAGTATCATGACAAACAATGTCCTACATGTAACATTGTTATAATGTCGCATCAAATAAAAAAAACCCCTTATTGCAGTCGTGAATTAGAATCATGGACGGCCTATGATAATTATCATTTAAGAAAGAAAGAGGTCATTTTCATAACCTGAGAAGAAAGGAAAACATAGTTTAACTATTTTTAAACAAAAGATATAAGTAAATAATCCTCTCTCCATCATAGTTGATCCTTGTTCCAGTCTGTTTCTAGGGTTTATGTGACTCTACCCACTCCATGTAAGTGCAATTCCTTCCCCCCCCCCCCCCCCCTTGCCCACTTTTTTTTCCCCAAATTTCATATTATTTTTTCATTTTAAATAAGTGTACTTACCTTATTCTTAAATTTTTTTAACTTAGGAAAACTGGTTTTTTTTTTTTTTTAAGGAAATCCTTCAAATATTTAGTGGCAATATTTACTAAATTTTTGTGTATTTGTATGATATTTCGCTTGATTCATCCGAAATACGGTGAATTTCGGGCATAATATTTTATCACCGGAAAGTTTAGGGCAAAATAGAAAATGCAGTAAATTTCGGCCGGAAATTTTCGTCCGAAATGTTCTTCCTCCTCTATGTTGTAACCTAAATTTGGCCCGAATTTCAGCGAACAATTCGAAACTGTGACGTTGGTTTTAGGGTTCAAGGATTATAGGATCTTGGGGTCTTGTCAAATGTGAAATCTTTTTTTTCGATTTTTATTTGAGAGAAATCGAGGGTTCTCATTTATATAGTTATATTATATGATCTGTTAGAGTTTAGGTTTATGACATCCAGTGTGGGTTATGACGAATTTTTGCCGACATTCACTGAAATTTTGGTGGCAATACAACTAACCGCACTTGCTTAGTGAGAAAATGGCGTGTATTAGGAGTAGTATACCATGGGCCGGTGGTCTATAGTGTATTGTATGATAAAAAATTCACCACTGGTGTATGATATAGTTTCGCATATTTTAGGGCCTGATTTGAGGACACCCCTAAAAAAAAATAAGGGAAAATATCATTACAGTGGATGAAATCCTTAAAAAAGTTATTAAAGGGGTTAATTATCCTTATTAATATTTGAGTTCATTTCCCTGAGACACCTCCTCAAATTTTCAAAAATACCCAAATTGCCCTTGTCCAATATTTGGAATGAAGAACAATGAGGGATATTTTAGTTATTTGACCACCAAGCGGCCTCACCTGAATGACATAAATACCCCTAATTGTTTCTTATTACAAATAAAGAGCACATCGTTTAGTATTAGTAATGCAGAGCAAATAGGGGTGTTTCTATAATTTGATACATGCAAATCATTTAAGCGCATATTGATAAAAAAATCTTTAGTTGTTATGCGTTACTAATACTGAAAATGTTTTATTTATTTGTAATCCGGACAAAACTAGAGATATTTTCGTCATTTGGTCGATGCCTCTTATGGGTCAACTATGATTATTTTGCATTCCAAGTACGAACCAGGGCAATTTGGGTATTTTTTATCTTTTATTTTTTTGATGAGGCTTCTGATAGAAATAAAAAAGAAAAAGTATGTTCTCAAATGCTAGTGTAGATAGTTTAACCCTTTAATGATTTATTAGGGCTTTCATCCCTTCTAATGATATTATGAAAAATAATTTAAAATGATAAATAACCAAAATCCCCCTATATATCATATGTGATGTTATTTTGTTTATAATATCAAGAGTGTACTATCTTATGTAAATTTAACATAGTGTGATATTATTTTGTGAACTATTTGGTATGCACCTTGTATTATACATACTATTATTTATTATGTAACTTTGATTTCTACCTATTCTTAGCTATTTATGGCTAAAGATATGAGATTTTCAGTAAATTCTTTAAATAGAGTGAAAACAAATTTTCCTAGAGATAAACTTATGTAAACTGCTTTTAAGTTTATCTTACGTAAGTTTACAACATACACTTTCAAACATAGATGTTTCATTATTAAGATTAATTTTATCGAAACATCAGTGACAATGAGTGCATTCAAGTAGGCCGTTAATTTAGTTTCATGCTTTGAGTAGGCCGTTAATTGAGTTTCATGGTCTAATATTTTATTGAAAAATGTTGGTTATTTGAGCATGAGAAAGTATACAACGAGACGATTTATTTGTAACTTTATTCACATGGATTGTCAAATATGACAAATCCTGTAATTGAATCAACCCTTTTAGATTGGGGGAGGGTTTCGATACCTCAGATGCACCCTGTTCAAGTGGATCCACCTTCCGCATTCCATTTTAGAAAGGAAAATTGTTTCATGCAGGCAGGACTGCATTTCTACATATGCGGTCCAGAAAGTGTAAAGCATCCATCTTAAAGATGGAAGCAAGTAGGTGGTCCATCTAAAAACAATAGAAACTAACGGTCCAAATGTTTTCTTACTAGACTTATTATTTTTAGTTTTAATTTTTTTTTTTTTTCATATTCATGATCTCTATGTTAGAGATTACGTCCTTAAAA